AAACTTTACAAGATTTGGGGTTGAGAAATCGGAGTTTATTGCTCAGCAGTACTCAGCACGGCCACAGAACAAAACATGTTTATGCCGTATGATTAGGCCTCAGTAGGCTCGTTATTTAGACTTAAACTTTCAGGCTATCGATTTTTCTATGTGAATGTTCGGTGACTTTTTGTTGCAAGCCCCGATCGATAGGCTACACTACATGACGTAGCCTAACTTGAGATTGCACTCTTTTTTTGTCTGTATGTGTATGGTGAACACAAGAATCAATAAGATATTGTACAAGTCAAACTATTTTACATTTGTAATTTAAACGTGACTTTTGAAAAGGAAAAAAAAAAAAAGAACGATTTTTTAATTATTTAATAATTTTTTTAAAAGTACTTCCCGTTGGTTACGTCATCAAATTTGCAGCACACTTGTTGATGATGTGTAGAGAACACATCAACTGATGACGTAGAGTGGGGATGTTTATCTTCACAATTTTGTGTCAACATCAGTGGTCAGTTACTCCTACACCATTTAAATAAATTGACTGGGACTAAAAGTGAAAACTAATAATAATATAGAAGGTGAGATTAAAAAAACGTTATCAGCAAATTTTAAGCAGATACAATCTTTAGTGGATCAACGTTTTTTCTAGAGAGTAAAAACTAAAATGGAGAACGTGAAGAAGTAGGTCAATTTGTCCCACATAACTGACGCACCATATACTTCGAGGGGCACAATACTATTACACAGTAAAACAGGAAATTGGTTTCACAATTCTAGTGCGCGGGTACTTAAAATAAGGTGTTTTGCAATTGCTGTAAGCCCATCTTACTGTCATTACACAGTGTAGGTATTATTGTAAGCTATGATTTAACTATGAACTACACAAGGAGTGTTTTCTAAAAGTCAGAGAGAGTAGTTTAAGTGAGTAGTCACAGTAGTCAGTAGGTAGTTATCGTGAGTAGGGTGTAGGCCTATTTTAGAATATTTGCAAATATTTTAATATTAATTAATAATAGTGTTAATGAATTATTAAATGAATGAATGAGAAAGAAACTCAGCTATTAGTACGAGCCCTACCGACCATACCTTCATGCCTACTTTTACTTTTAGCCAATTACTTGTATTTGTATACATTATTTGGTCATTTATTAGACCTATTTATTAGACTTAGTATTAAAATATTATAAATTATTGTTTTCCATTTAGTTAGTCATCTATTTCCCTCAGTTTTAAAAGGACTTTTATTAATTTTAATATAACAGTTTTTAAACAAATCTAAATCAGTATTCAGTGACAGTGGATGACATTAAGTTTATGTTTATTGTCCATTCAGCCAGTGTGTGACCGAATTTCATATCAATTTCATATCCTTAATGTATGACAGTATGAGTATGGTAAAATAAATAGAAACTTAACTTGTCAAACTATAACTTTAACAGAGGCATCAGCATTAGTTTACTGTGGTGATCTCATGCAACTTAACTAATGGTACAACCTCTGCCCCCATCCCCCCTCCCCCTTTTTTTTTCCTCAAAAATCTATGTACCAGGCCAGGATTACGGTAAGTTAAAAAAAAAAAGTTTAATAAAAGATATACAGTGTTTAATTTTTTTATAATTTCTTTCCTACTTTATATATGTATTGACAATCTTTAAACAATGGTTGCATTGTAATAACCTTGTCAGTGTGTTCAGAATACATGGATAGTCTCTTGTAGCCTTGGGGGTGTTGTTTAGATTAGAAAATGATTTCTAACTCTGACCAATGCTGAGGATGGTTCCCAGACAATGGAATGAAGGACAGGTGACAAGTGATCAAGTGAGCCCAAAGACAACTGACTCTATGGACAACTTTGTTGAACAGCTAAGGCCCATGGCCATGTCCAAACTCATGTCTACTCATTTTTAGGGCAAAGGCGTAGCCGGCAACAAGCATTATAGATGCCCATTGAGCATTCCAGACCCAAGACTGTTACCAGTAGAACAGCTTTAGACTCAACATAGGTTTTATATTTCTCCAGGCAAGAGATAAAGGGCACCAAACTTGTCCCCTCATCACATTTGTGACCGACCAGCCGAAAATTCGTCAAAGTCCCAAGTCATTCCAATTCGTGTCAGCCGGGCTCTCCGGAGCCATCCACAGTCATCTGAGTTTACTCTGGAGCATGCCAAACCGTAAATTTCTGGAACATTTCGTCAAACTGATTTCCATTCTTCCAGGGTGGTTTATAATTGCAAAAATATATAATTTTTAAAAAAGACTAAGAAGACTAAAGTTGTAGGCCTTTCCTAACTGAATCAGGGACCTAGCTGGTTAAATTTATATTATTCTATAAAGCCTACTTGATTTAAATGAATGTCAATAAGCATTCTGAGATGTAAAGGTTATCTGATTGTTACATTGTTAATTCAGAATTAAAAATCATAAAATAACTCCTCGATAGGTCAGAGATCTCAAATTGTATACAGGGATTCAAACAATGCACCTTTTAATCTTTTGAAATGTGAAAATCCCTAATGTACATCTAGTTTATGATAAATTTTGTAGCCTATCTTTTTAAATCCCAAGTGTAATTATCAGCTACCATACAAGTATAAGTTGAAAATTCACATTAGTAGTCCAAGCTGTTTGAGTATGACTAAAGTTGATAGAACTATAAACCTAATGTCTTATGTTTTCTCTTTTTTTTAACTTATAATCTGAAGGTTGTGAGTTTGATTCATCATCTAGGGCATTTCTTATACTCATAGATACAAAAAAATTATCTTGTAATAAAAAATGTAAAATATTTCACAGATTGTAAGGGAGAAAAGGGAAATTTAAAAAGAAAAAAATGAAGCAGAAGCCTATATAGAACAATAACTCTGTACTCTGTAGTATCTATTTAAAAAGGCCAACAAATGTGATTGAATATATGATTTTTGATTATTACTTTTAAAATTTAATGTATGCAAGTTTCAAGTAATTATGAATTAGAAGTGAATTTTTACAAATTCTAACCAAAGTACATAATCTGAAAATGTTAAAAACAAAAGGAAGTTTAATGAAATTTTGTGGATATTTCATTTATCTAAGCCTATAACATTAAGTTATTTTAAAGTAATAAAAGATGGGAGGAAACAAAAATTTTTCTATGATTTTATTTCTGAATACAAAAATATATAAGTTAGGTCATTTGCATAAGCCCTAACAAAAGTCTTTTAGGCCCACAGTCTTCGTCTGATTTTAGCTCTGCAGTTCCCAACTTTTTTTTTTTCACCTGCTCTGTGGCATGTATAGACAAAACCCCCCCCCCCCCCCCCCTTCTCTCTTCTTATCCCCAAAAAAAAAAAAAAAAAAAAAAAAAAAAAAATCCCCCCCCTTTTTCCATTCACTCATCCCTAAAAAAAAAATGAAAAGTATATAAACTAAATAATCTAATGAAGCAGATAAAGCTAATGACCTTAAATGCTTTTAGTTTCTCTTTACTTCATTTTATTTGTTTACAAACAAAAGATCATATTAGAAAAATATTACTCGCATTAAATCAATGAAAGCACATTGATTATCCATTAAATTTAAACAGTTGTTCATCTTGTATGCAAATTGTCATATGTGGTTCTTAATAATTTTAATATGATCCTGATCTTGTTTCATGGATCCAAGTTTTAAAAAAAATCAGATTCAAATGAAACATATAATAAACTCAAGCTGGATCAAGCTTATTGCGATATTTATTCTTGATGTATGTATAAGATCAGAATGTTCATTTCACAATTTCTAAACAATTAAGAAATGATGCCCTTTAAATGAAGCTAAAATGCAATCTCAAAAATAAACAATCCAATTTTTTTAAAATAGGAATGAAAATACAAAAATTGGGTAATTATATAACAATGCAGTGTTCTCATTATTAATTTTATTTGAAAATTTTTTTAAAAAATATAATTTGTTGTTAATATACCTCTGTTAGATTGAATTACACCATCTCGTAAATTAACAAGTGTAAAAAACACCCTTTTTGTTGTTACCCACCATTGTCAAAATAAATTTAGGGAACCCCAAGTGGTCGCCATGTACTATGAGGGGAAATGCTGACTAAATGGTTCGGCAAATCATTCTTTTGTGTCTTCACATAAGATTGAAATTTTAATACAAGGTCAATAAAGTTATTTTTATTAATTTAATTAAGCAGAGAAGACTTCGGAGCCCTATTTACCTCAATTTAAACACATTTCATTTTTTTTTTTTTTTAATCACTTTATATTAGCTGTGTCCTTTTAATCAAATAAAATAAAAAGAATACCTTTACTTTTTTGGCCAGCAACTGAAGAGAAAGTTATGTATTTTTATGTTATGAAGCTTTTTACATTCGGTTTGTGTGAATATCAAATTTGTAATTCCTTTTGTAACTTGCTTTAGAAGTGTGTGTCTGTTTTAAATTGCAGGGCCGAGTAGAAAAAGTTACAATTTTTCAAAAATGAGTTAAGCCTGGCATTATATCCGAATACTTCCCCTGAATCATTCTTGTTAGTATCATTCATGAAAAATGTACACAAGTGTTTCATTCAGAGATACCTCAAGCAAATTTTAATGTCTTTAAATAAGAATTTAAAAACTTTAAACTCATTTTTCTCAAAACTGCAAAAATATACTTAAGTACTTTTTCTACTAGGCCCTTCAATTAGAGCCTATTATTTTATATTTAAAGTGTTTATTTAATGAAAAGAAAGTATCCTTCAAAATCATTTCAGTTTTATTTTGTCATCTAAGTAACATTTTTTTAATGTAACCCGTATCAGACCACATTTGAAATGTGGTATATCTATGAACATTCTAGAAGTATTTCCTAGTGAATTCATATTATTATATCACATGTTAGTATCAGTTTTTACACTTGTTTGATAACCAACTTTTTTTTAGTTACTGGTATAAATAGAACTATTTGGCTTTCCCTAAGGCCAGGAAGTCCAAAGTTCATGATAATAAACAAAGTAAATTTGTTAGTGTCTGGGTAGATTACAAACACTGCATTCATGAAGTGAGATAGTGTGTGACTGCAGTGTGCTATGGCCATACACAGTTTTTATAGGCTTTCTTCCTACTCGCATTACACCTAGTGGAGCTTAATTAGTTTTTGTTTACACAAGTGACATTTTCAAACTTTCTCGTGCAGTGTTAACCTGGTGAATCGCAGGAAAAGGGTGGGTAAGGGTATGAGCTAGCTCCCTAATATTGGGTCGGCAGAGTGGGGTTTGACACTGCCGCTCAAATTTTTATGGTTGTTTGGGACTGCTACACTGCTACGTGGTTGAGTGAACAGGGTGAGCTTAGATATATTTTTTTAGATTTTTTGCCAAGGTAAAGAGTTCTGTCACTTTAATCTGGATTTTGTAAGCATTTGACGCTTAAAAAAGTAAATACTTATACTTTTGTCACACAAGAAAGTTTTTTTATTATTTTTATTGAATCAAGGAAACTGAGTATTTTAGATGTTTATTTTTAAAAACGATTGATTACTTAAAATTTCTAATGAATTAAGCTGAAACTCTAATTTATTTTTATTTTTTCTTTACAGAATTGTTCCTCAGTATTTTAATTATACCATAGTGACAGTATTTTCATTGTTCTGATACACAGAACTGTGTTGGAAAAACTGACTGCTGTCATTGTTAAACCCAAGACAGGCCCCGGCATACGCACTGTGTGCCGACACATTAGCCATGGCATCTGGTTACCCAGCTAACTCCTTTGGGAGGCTCGGGGTGGCTTGCTCACAGACCATCACAGAAGAGCCTTTCAGCCCAGAAACATCCAGTCTGGCTGGCAACTTTGACACAACTGAAAGTATAAACTCTTTTCATCTGCCCGGGGAGTTGGGGGATGGAAACACTGTGGGGAAGTCTAAATCAAAATCTGGCTATGGCTATAACCGTGCGGAATTAGGTTCTTTACTGGCCGCTGAGGTTTGTATTTGTCAAATTTAGAAATTCATTTTCAAATAATTTGTTTTTCTTGTCAGTTATTTGCATATAGTTTCATAAAAATTTGCATTTCTTGTTATTTATAAGGATACTGTGGATACTTGACAATTTTAAAAACTATTAGTTTCACAAGGAGGGGATTTTTTATTTACATACTCTTAATTAAGGTGTTAAAACTAATAATTAGTTTAAACTTAACAGCATTCTTTAAAATAACTAGCAACTTAGACATTTGCTGAAGACCTAAAACTCATTTTGGAAAAAATAAATAATTTATAAATCAGGTATGTAAATGTCCTTAAAGGATATATTTTTTAAGTTAACTTCATTTTCTTAAACTCCTTGTATGATGCTTCTAGCTTTTTTTTATGCACTTATATTTCTTAAGCTAATTTATATTTATTTTAGTTTATGTAAATATATGCTAATAATTATTAAGACGAAAAAGTTCAAATGCTTTAAAATGCACTGAATATGCCATAAATGCTCATAATGCTAGATAGAAATCATGACACAGGCCTATGGAGTTCTTGTGCTTAAATGCTCAAAGAAAGAAAAAACTTGTAACTATTTTTTGAATATTGATTTTTAGGATGATAAACTACCCCCTGAACTTGATGAGGATCTGGATGGAGTAGACACCTCCTTGTTAAATGTCCCCAGTAAATGTGCTCAACAAGCAGAAGAGTTTGTAAAGAAGGTAGGCTTGTGTTTGACAGTGGATAGATCTGTTTCAATTAATTAATATTTTTGTAGGAAATTAAATGGGTAGTGTTATTTCTAGGAAAAGTTACATTCAATATTATGCATTCAGTGAACTGTTATAATTAAATCTATCAGAAATAAAATACAAAACATTTATTGAATTATAATTTTTCTTAGCTAGTTGAAAGGAAAATGGTGTATATAAAGTTGACCAGCTAGTTGAAAGGAAAATGGTGTATATAATGTTCATCATCTAGTTGAAAGGAAAATGGTGTATATAAAGTTGACCAGCTCATTAAAAAAAATGGCCTTCTGAATATAGAGATACTGTAGGTTCCATATAAATTCATGTATTGCTAGGTAATTTAAGTTACTGCTTATGGCCTACTTTTATCAATGTATTTAAGTGTCCAAATGACAATTTAAGTGGGTGTTATATTGTGCCAATTTTTTGGAAGGGTGACAATTACAGAAAATTTCTTAATTCAGATGTGTTTCTTTATTGAACATAAGCTAAGATTTGAAAGTGGGATTGGAGTAATGCATTTTATTAAAATATATATGTATTTATAAGTATTAATGATGAATGAATTGCTGAAGATTAAAATTGGATTATATTTGACTCAACATAATCTGATACAGGTGTGGGCTGCTGGCTGGAATGTCGCCCACCACCACACCCTGCCTGACTGGCTCAAGGACAATGACTTTTTACTCAGAGGCCATCGTGTTCCAACAAACTCATTCATAGCATGTTTCAAGTCCATTTTTAGAATTCACACTGAAACTGGAAACATATGGACGCATTTGCTAGGTAAGGGCAGCCAAAGATAAAAGGGCTCTTGTAGTTCTAACTAATCAATTCATGACTTGATGACGGTCTGACAAAGGTCTGTTACATTAAGAAATGACGTCAGCAGGGCGAGTCTAGACTCTTATGCCTCCCCCCTCCCCGGTCCGACGTATCGGGCCACGGAGTGGCACGTTGGAGATGCCCACTCGTCAGGACGGCCCCCACACGGGCCCCTCACCCAAGTCCCCCGCTTGGGCGCTCGACCAGGACCCCGCCTGGGGGCCGCCCCAACCAGGAGGCACCCAGTCGATCCGACACTATGCGTTTAAACAGTGCACTCGATCGACTTTCTCAGGAGTTGGGATGGAAAAATTTACATCCTAATATCTTCCCCCACCCATCCCGGGAAAGCGTCGGATGCCCTATAAGAGGGATTCCACAGTGGGCTTCCACAACGCAACTAGTTCACGCTGTAGCTGGGACGAAACGGTTGCCTAGGGGCAGCGTTCTCACGGCTGCATTATTTGAATCCTCGGCCAGAGGTTACCACCCTCGCCTCTGGCCTCATACCCGTCAACGGCAACTTGTAATCATGATCCCTACCCTGGCTCTGCCTAACTTTCCGACTGCGAAATATCACAACCGGCAGCCCTGTGGGAGCTGTTTTATGTACGGCAGGTACCGAGCACACCCTTTGTCTGCCCACGCGGGGCGTGCCCAGTAGTTATGTTTCCAGGCAAACGCCGAGGGGGTCGGTGGCCGACGCTTCCTAATCGGCAAGCCACAGCAGACTTGTCAACCAGAAACCTGGAGGGACAAAGGTCTGTTAAATGGAGGTCAACATCTTGGCCTAATAAATAAGGGTTGGTTTAATAAGCTTTCTTTTATAGATGTCTACCAACATTTTCTCGAGTTGTAGCTGCATGTGTTGCCCCTTTTGAATCTCTGTCTTTACATTTTTCTCTGAGATAACACTTAAAAGAAGTAGGGATGTTTCCCAGCAATGGAAAGCTAGTCCTGCACATCTTCATCTGATGAAGTTGACTTAGTAGCATGGGTCACAATGGCTGTGTATTAATCTTGATATGTTATTTCATTTCTTCTGTTACAGGCATGATAGCTTTCCTTGGCATTGCTGCCTACTTCTTAACTCGACCTTCCATTGAGATCCAGTGGCAAGAAAAGGCAGTTTTCTCAGCTTTTTTTATGGGGGCCATTTTATGTCTGGGCTTTTCGTGGGTGTTCCACACCGTCTACTGCCACAGTGAACGTGTTGGTAGATTTTTTAACAAGTAAGTATTGTGGTAATTTGGCTGTTATTGAAGCGCTAAAATAATTATGACTAATTGATCTATTAAAAAGTAAATAAGAGACTGCTACTGTATTGTAGTATTCTAATTATCACCAGGACCTGTAAAATTGGAAAAATCTATTTCAATGTCAGTCTGCCAACAAGTTTTCACTTTGGTTAAGTTTTAGTTATTTGCTTAGTTTTTATTCTCTTTATCGGGCCTGCACAGTTCAAAATGTAAGACGGGCCGTAATACTTTATGAAAAATTTGTGTAGGCCGAAAGAAAAAAGGACAGGGGGGGGGAAGCTATTAAGAAAATAATAAAGAATGTTTGGATACTTCAGGGGCTGCAAAGTGGGTGCTGGCGGGCAGCATGCAGACTGTATGTTGTGCAGGGCTGCTCTATATCCTATAAGGGATAAATCAATTTAAACATTTTTATCTTGTTTTATGGTAACTTTACAATATTTTTCAATGGCTACCCCTCTTACACATACCTTAATTAATCATATGTTGTTTTTTTTTCTGTCTTTCAGACTTGATTATTGTGGTATAGCATTGCTCACCATAGGTTCCTTTGTTCCCTGGCTGTATTATAGTTTCTATTGTCGCCTGGAGCCCAAAGTAACTTACTTAGCTTTGATATTTTTCCTGGGAACTATTGCCATCGTGGTCTCCATGTGGGACAAGTTTGCTCAACCACAGTACAGGCCTTTGAGGGCAGGTGAGAGTCTTTTTAATCTTTAGGGTTCAAGTTCAGATAGGCTTGTGTTATCTCCACTTCTGATATTATCTGCAATTTAAATTTAAAAAAGAATGAGAATGTGCATGATAGCTTCTATTTTAGTAAGATTAGATCATAATGTCATAGTGAGATTGCCTAAAATGAATTCAGAAAACTGGGCCTCAATCATTTCGTCCTACAAAATCTTGTATAGTTATGGTCTTGACATAAAATTCCAGTGGACATACCAAGAGGATTTTATTACATTTAAAAAAAAAATGCATGATTAGAAAACATATCTGGTGGCATTTTCAGTTCCTCGTTTAAAAAGCTTTTCTTTTATTAAGTCGTCATGGTGGGTGGCAATGATGTTGGATTTTTACCAACCTCCCTAAATTCTAGAGAGCATTTTTAATATTTCCTAGAAAAAGTTTAAAATTAATTTATACCACAGATAAATGCAGCTATTTAGAAATTAATTGTAATATATATCAACTAAACCCAGAGTTAAAAAAAACAAAAAGGAAGTCAAGTCAGTTGAAGTAATAACATTTCCAAATTAATTGAAATGAATGAATAATTGTACACAAAATAACATGAGAGCAATGTTTTTACCTATGACTTGTTTCTTTTTTTATTATTATGGCTAACCATAAATAATGGATATAGATAGTGAAGATGTAGCTATGTAACAGACCTGTTTACTCTTAGAATTTTGGCATACATTATATATACTGTATGTTTATTTTTTTTACTATTAAGATAATGTATTGAACGATTTTATGATGATTTTTTACGATTTCAAGAATTTTTTTTTTTGATGTAGACTTACTATCTGATAGATATAGACCAGGGTCCCCACACAGTTGGGAAAGCGGGGAATAGTCGGGAATTTATTGAATAATTTTCCTGGTCATGAAAACAGGGAAAATGGGCCTTCTAGTTAGGAAATTTTCCGGATAGTCGGGAATTTAAAAAAAATGTGGCTTTGGATGACATGAAAATTGACATTAATCGCCGATCTCGTCTATTTTAAGCCTTTCTTTTATGAAAAGGACCTTGCTAGTGGTTTCCCCTTAACTGCCCATGCGTTTTGAGCTCTACAAGTTTCTATTACTAGTATTACCGTACAACTTCAATAGAACAGAAATATTTATTTTCTGTACACATCGCCAATCAAGAGATGTTCGACTGTTTGGGTAAGTAAAGTGTAAAATAAAGTAAATAATTATTTAATCTACTTTTCAATTGTGAGATAAACATTTTAACTAGAAAACTACTCTTCCAAGCGATGTCTACAATGACTATGCTTAGCGTTCTTTGTTATGTCGTAGTCGTAGTCTTCATTAGTTGATTTTTAACGGTTTTACTGTATGTGGACGACATGTATTTTTTTGTTATTAGCGCAAGGCAGCCTTTAATTTCTTTTAAAGACTTCATGTTCACTTAACATTTAATTACGGCCTTCTAATTTTAAATAGGTTAATATTATTAAGTTATTTTGTGATGTTATTTTTGCGTAGATTAGTTAGCTAGTTTACGGCTGACATCGGAAATTCATTTAAAAGTTAATGAAACTAAAACTAGTTGATTGGACTTGATACATCGATTCAATGAGCCTAACATAACTGTATATAGTTAGTTCTTATTTTATGCACTCCCGTGCTCTGGGTATACTTTACGGTATTATACTATTATTCATAAGCACAGTGGCGTAGGCAAGGATTGTTTGTTGGGTTTTTTTGTGTATTGTGGGGGTCCTTTGGATACCCCAAAAAGTGTGTGTGTGTGTGTGGGGGGGGGTGGCAATGATGCATTCTCCTGTGGAAAAACTTGACTATGCCGTTTCATATGCATTTCTTAGTATCTCTTCAGACTCTATATTACTGTAGTTTAGTATTGGTATAATATAGTCTATATGGTGTATGCCTTACTGTAAATTATAAACATAATATTAATATGATAATATATTTTATTTTATTTCACTATTCAGGATCAAGGCTCAATAAAATAATGCTCAACAGTTCCTTTAAAGACTGATGGTCAGGACAGCTGTCATGATAATTGAACTGCTTCACTATGCTGGAAATATTGATATCAAGTATTCAGGGCGAAAATATTTTAAAAATGTCAATCATCTGATGAGACTTCAGCTTTATCACCTATCTTAGGTGTCCAGCTCTGCAACTTCTCAGCCAAGCTACCAATGTATGTCAAAATATTGGAGAGATTTCATAGACACTAAAGTGTGTTGACTCAAGCTATCCATTTTCATCACAAAGGAGAGAATGTTAACTCAATATAAGAAAAGATGCTTTCCACTTGTGGTAGCTATACGTATGTGCTAAAATGCCCCGGAGAACACATTGCAAAAGTTGCCCTTGCACTTTAAAAGTAAACGTTAACAATTTTTCTCCTCTAAGCAAATTGAAAAATTGCAATTGCTAGAAAATTTAATAAAATTTTACATGTATAAACCTCAATCACTTAATTTTTTTGTTAATTTGTGATGCATTTCAATGTTGCTTTACTTTGACAATTACATTTTTTTTTATGTTATCAACAAAAACGCAGTGTTGTGATAGTAACTGATAGTCAGGAATTTTTTTGTTTTTAGTTGGGAAAAGTAGGGAATTTTGTTTATAAAAAAGTGTGGGCACCCAGATTTAGCTATGTTGACTTACTAACTGATTGATTTAGACGGTGAAGATGTAGTTATATAGACTTACTATGTATGTAGAAGACCAGCAGACTTGGTACTCTGCATACAATACAAATGGATCCCATTTCAATGTCTTTGCCGCCATTCTAAACCTACTTCCGTATGCCATATATCCTGGTGTGGGAAGATGTTTTATTTTTTAGTTTGGGCAAAAGGTCCATTAACCTATATTAAAATATTTTGGATAGAGCATGAAATAAAATTGCTGTAATTATCACTTTTAGTCTAACAAGGTTAGCTTTCTGGAAGGCCATGTCAAAATATTATCATTATAGAAGATTTGACCCAAATAACTCTGTTTTTTTTTTTTGTGTGCTTATGTCAACTAAATTAAGATCATTGATTGAAAAGTTTTCTATATAAAAAGGAAAAATATTGTTTTAGTTCTCATTAGACTTTCAACATTTGGAATTATAAAACACTTACAATGTTTGCTAAAACACCAAATTTCTTGAAAGAATTATTTTTAAGGTGCTGCATTAAAACAATCAATTCAATCTTATTTGTGTGCGTTTTTTATACCCAGGAGTGTTTGTTGCCCTGGGTCTGAGTGGAGTTATTCCCGCTATGCATTATGTGATCACAGATGGTTTTTGGCATGCCATTAACTATGCAGCCCTGGGCTGGCTGGTCCTCATGGCTTTACTATATATTGTTGGAGCTGTCATCTATGCTGTTAGAATTCCAGAGAGGATCTTTCCCGGCAAGTTCGATATTTGGGTAGGTGCTCATTTGGTAACATTACTTTCTGAGTTGGTCGGACGCTTTTCATTAGTTATAATTATTTGCCGCATCATTTTAAATAATATAATATCATTTTTAAATCTTCTAGGTTCGTAAAGAGACAATCCTCCCAATGCATGTGCAGCTTTGAAAAAACATTTTTGAGTATCTCATACATGACACATATACTTTCATTACTTGAAAAAATTGTAGTTTGCACATCTTTTAAAAATTTAGCAATAATTTTTTTTTTTTTAAAGTTCCATGCTATATGTCACCACAAATGAAACAAAAAGAATTGACCGTACTGTTATATTCAAACTTAAATTTTGATTCTCGATATAGGGAAAACTATGACTAATTAAAATTTATGAAAGAAATCAATAACAAAACTAAGAGTCAAATAAAATAAACAGGTTGCTATATAAGCAGAGACTAACACATTGGGAAAATGTGGGGCTTCTATTTTGTGTTCTTTCAGAGCCACTATATAAAAACCGTTGTATCAAAAAATTCATTTCACCATTGAAGAGCATGAGAGTGAAGGAAATCTTTTGATTTTGACCTCTTTTAAATATAACATTTTTAAATTATGATTCTCTCCTCAGTTCCAAAGTCACCAGATTTTCCATGTCTTTGTGCTGGCTGCAGCTTTTGTGCACTACCATGGGATATCGGAGATCGCCAACTACAGACTTACCCTGGGGGACTGTATAGCAAGGGGAGAGGTCGAGTAGACCAACGGGGCCGTCTGTGTTATTTGTTACCATTTTGATCTCGCAAAGTTCGACAGAAGCGCACTAACATCTGTGACAGAGGAACCACTAAAGAGAGAACCAGATTTTTTTTCCCAAAGAGAACAATGTTTTTTCATGTTTGAACTGAGCTGCAGAGTTGGAGTCCTGCTTTCTGAAGAAAAACAATTTTGACTGAAATATTGTCAGTGAAAGATAGTATTTTTTATCATCCATGGTTTTAAAAAAATAACAAAAAAAACTCCTTATAACATCATCTAAATGTTTTTTCTCCGACTCTGCAGCAGTGGGAGGTTTGTTGCCTGATATTTAAATGTGGTGATCAAGATTTAAATACTCGATGCAGTGACTAACTTGGTGATGATTGACTTAAACATGATCCAGTACCGCTCTACACATGTAAACCCTCCTTGTAACGGTGGCAATGTTTACTGTTCAGATAAATTTTTCCCAGTTAAAAACATGTACTTTTCATTGTGTGACATAACTAGCTTGCTTCAATTCACAGTTTGTCTTGAGGTAAAGATCAGAGGACTTTCTATACATATTTTACTGCACTGATATGTAAATTAAATTCACCTTGTCTTTATTATTCCATTGAATTCGGCATTGGAATGATGAGAGTACCCCAGATTATTTTATGTCTAGTTTCAGTGTCTTTCCTTTTTTTTCATTTTATGGTCATTGGGAGAGACCAGAATTTTTATGCCATGCCCATGATATTCAGCATTGCTTCTAAAAAACTTATTGAAACACTCAGAATGTGTTGCCTAAAGAGTCTGCCAGAGATTCTACGTTTTAGGTGTACTGCACTGCCAAAAAAATTTAGAGAAGCACTGATAACCACTGTCCACCTTTTTGTCCACGTTAATGAGATTTTCAGTTAGTAAGGACTTGGTGTGTGTGACTCATGCATATGAGATGACCTAATGTATGAACTCAGTGACTCATGCATGTGAGGTGACCTAATGAACTCCGCAGTGTTAACAACTAAATATTTAAATAAAATAAAACCTGCCTAGTTGTAGATGGAACAGTTATTTGTTGAAGACTCTCTCCACCAGTCCCTGCCCCATTGAGGCACTTGTGAAACATACAAAATGGGGCATTTTTGTATATGCACCTGATAAAATCTTGCTCCATGATCAACTGTATTGAGATCAGTGCTATTGAAACTCATTGAAGTTGAAGCTGGTGTCACACCTGAGACAGCTAATTTAGTGTAGCACTCTATCCCAAACGTCAAGGTTATTGGATGTGTGCTCAGTAAGGTAATGGAATAACTTTTTGAGTGATGAAATCATAGGAGAATAAATTTGTTTAAAACATGGTTTTATTGTTATCACAGGAGACCATAACTACAACCTGCTATCAAGTTTTAAAAAGTAGTCAGTGGCTAAACGGCTTTGAATGTGTTACAATGTATAGTTGTAGTAAATTAATACTTTACACATAATTTTAATCTTAAGTGCAGGCTTTACTTTTATTTACAAAGGTTTTCTTTATAAAAATGTGTATATGCTTCTGATGAAAATAAATTACAGGCTCATCAGAGTTTATCCCTAATTTTAACCATATTGTAACTAATTTGTGACCCTGTGCTCCACAGAGCTATATTAACAAGTTGTTAATTCAATGTACAAAGCTATGTAGCTGGGTAAAAAAAGGATTACAGTCCAGCTCAAATTAGTTCGAGACTTCCAAATTTTTTTTAGCGCATGCTGTTAGTTAAAATAGACAAATTTGATTTTTAAAATGTCTCAATAAGTGAAATGATAAGAAATTTTTACCTTACGATGTGAAGCACTGATATTTATTTAAAGACATATCATTTTGAAGTGTGTTACTTCTTGTATATGCTTCAGCCAATTGTTCTTATTGATACCTTTCATGAGTACTAATTTAACACAATTATCCCTCCTATAAAAACTTAACAAAAAAAGTATATATATTTAAACAGCATTTCTTTAAAAATGTAGATTGAGCTTCTGCCAGGAATCCCAGTAGTTCACTATTCTGGAAGAGCTGTTCTGCCAAGGTCGATAAGCTCAGTTTTAAGATATCCAGTTTGAAAAACAAATAATAAGATATTACGTTTTATTATATTTCATTTAATGTCATCAAATCAGACATTCTCAACCTCAAAATTATGAAAGTCCCAATATGAAGTTTAAACCTTGGAAATGAGCTGATTACATTTCATTAGATTTTTTTTTTTTTGGTACCTGTATTCATAATTTTCATAAGGGAAGCCTATCACATGAGAGGGCCTCATTGATGTATTAGTTTTTGGACTATCCTAGACTAATCTGTAGATTAATTACTTATGAGGATGAGAAGAATGCATCCTTTTATCTTGTTAATTGGTTTCCTGATTATTTCGGCTAATCCAAGAAGACACATAACACCCCCCTCACCTTTTCTTTTAATTGTATTCTTAAACATTGATTTTCTATTTATGCAAGCCAATCCGATGCTTCTATTTCTTTCTTTCAAATACAATTTTTTTCTTGTGGTTATGACATACTCACAAATGTCTATGCGAATTTTTAAGTTAGTGATGATATACAGTGGGAACAACTCTTTTTTTTTTGTGTGGGTATATCAATGTTTTAAGTGCAAGGGCTGTACATTAACTTACAATAATATTTTCCATAGAAATGTGCTCACTGGTTGCAGTAAGTTGATTATCTTTTCACACCATCTATTTTAAGTCGGAGCTTAATCTATTTTTATTGTGTCCTGTGTTTTTCACAAGAGTAAAGTTTATTCTTGAATAAGGATTTGAACATGCCAAATTGTACTCACAAATGCCAGATTTTCTGCTCTGTTTAGATCATTCTTAAGATAAAATGTTGTAGCAATAGGATTTAAATATAAGAATTTGAAATGGTTACAAAATTCTGGCCAGCCTAGAAGTAGTAGAAGTACTGACTTCAATGTGCGTGTATCTGTTGCCGAACGACAGCCAAACATTTAATAGCCAATGATGTAAAAAAAAAAAAAAAAGCAACAAATCTTATCCCAGATTGGTTGTTATACAAGTAATGATGATCCAGAGACAAAGAGTGACTGACGTTTTAACTGGTTATCTGGAGTGGTCCCTGAAATTCTTATGAATGGCTTTGATCTGACGTGTACATTTGTGCTGGGAGTTATATCTTTATTCATATCATTGTACTGTTACTTTGCTTTCAAATTTTTTAGGTTGATGTTTGAGACTCAGGATTGAAGTGTTGGGGAGAATGGTAGTTTTTTTTCTTCCTCCATTTATTTTTATTTATTTCTCTTGGTGTTATATATCCAAACCCTCCAACCCCATTTCCCCCCCCCCCCCCCCCCCCCCCCCCAACTCCCTATATTGAAAGGGATAATAAAGAAAGCCGGGGAAAAAAAGGTTTTGGGGTGTCATTATATATCTCTGCCTACCATCTACCAACACTACAGTCCTGTTGAGAACTGAGACCACCATCCATTCCTATTATTATTATGTGTGGAGGATCAATGTGCTGTGTCTGCTGACCACTGTGTGTTGTTGTGACTGCACTTCCATTTCTGTACATCAGTATTGCCTGAGTCTGGAGTTCAAAATTATTCTATTTCAGCACATATTATATTTTATTTTGAAAATTCGAGAGATAGAAAAAATAAAAGCCAACTTATTGCTGACACTAATACAATAAAGATTTATTTTATAAACAAATAAAATCAACAGCCAAGTGTACAGTTTGAGTGTTATTGATGTGTGTGACTTTATAATGTTTGGGTGAGATGACCAGTTTTGTCAGTAACTGTCCATATATAATAGAAGGCAGCGGTACCTCCTTTGTGGTATTGTTTTGTGGTTATAATAATATAATAATAATAACTGCAAATACAACAGTATTTTTAACAAAGTAGTTCACTTATTTCAAAACTAGAAGTTATTACCCCGTGTTACTGGGATAGTAATGAAAGGCATTTCGCACTACTTTTTCTACCTGCTGTAGCCAGGTCTCAGCATTAAAAAAATCCAATTTGGTCTCGGCATTAAAAAAATCCAATTTTTACATATATAACTGAATCGGGTTTGATGTCTTGTATTGTATGCTCAGATGAAAATAATGACTTGTCCCCACATCCTTTAAATGTATAGGTAGGAAATAGTCAATCAGACTTTCATCATTTCTAAACAAGTTTCTATCTATAGAATTTTATGTTTTTAATATAATTTATTATCATTTGTTTTTTAATTTTAAAAAAAAAAAATGTTTAAAATAATAAAGGGATACATAACCCTTTTCCACGCCCCTGAACTGAAACGAAAACTGTTGTCTAAAATTTGTAAAAACGTGTCCCACATTTAAAAAAAAATCTAGGGACTGTTGACCATTTAAAAAATCTGTTTCATTCAAAAGTTCCTCTTTTTGCCACGGTCCTGAGCTAAATTATCGGAAAATCGTTAACACACAATTCTTATATCTAATATGTGTTTCACATTTGTAATCAGCCTTGTTTTAGAAATAGTATTAATTTCATAAAATTCATACGCAGTTTTCCATTTCCATGATCAAATTTTGATCAAAAAGAGAATGACATTGTTTATTTGATTTAGATTTAAAGAAACTAGGAAGCCATCCGTTGTCCAAGCCTCTGAACTGTATTTTTAAGTTATGAAAAGGTTATGGTTCTCATTGTAATTAAAAAAAAAAAATTTTCACTTTGATAAAATGACTGGGTTTTTTGCGAAATTGCAATCCAATTTAAAATGTTTCTACTCTCCACTTGCGCACTTGAAATGTATTTTCACAAGATGTTTACAATACATTATTTCATATCAACATCGCGTTACACTCATAGAAATATGTGGCCATTAAAACTATTAAAAGGCATTAATCCTGGCCCCTGATCTGTATCCTTGGAATAATGAGAAAAATCTCAATGTTGTTAGTGCCAAAAGAAAATCTCATCCCACATCTTTTCCTTTCCAGCTTTTTATTAATTGCGGGTATACTTGTGTAAATGTGCGCGCAATTCAATGTGTCAACGCCAGGGGTGTCATTTCAAGGGGGGGGGGGCAGGGGCAAAACCAATTATTGGTCGGCTTCTTGAGTTGTTTATTACCGGAGGCGCCACAGTACATAGCAATTTAAATAAGACCTGAACATTCTGTGTGTGGGTGTGAGAAAAGTGTGGGGGGGGGGTTGGGTTGCCTCACTCCTGCCCTAACCAAATGACGTCACTGGTCAACGACCTTGAATTGTATTCTCCGACAGTGGTAAATCCAGGGCTTTTTTTTTAAAATCGTAAAATGCACCCGAACGGCGTACCGGTACCCTTGCTCGAGGAATTTTCCAAGTNGGGGGGGGGGGGGGGGAGATTGATGTAAAACAGTGCATGCGGACTACTTCGTGCAAAGAAAGGGAGGCCAGCAAAAAGCTCTTTGGCTCACCCCCCGGATGGCACTAACCCTAGAGCTAGAAGCGCTTCTGCTAGCGAAAGGTAAATTATTCTTATTTTAAAAAAATCGTTTGTAAAAAAAGTAAACAATTTCTAATTACTTCTCAACCACATGTCCTGCTAATGAATAGGCCTGGATATTTAAAAGAGAGACTATACTGTTATACGACGCCTGTTGACATTTCTGAATCTGATCTTGAAAAGCAAAACGAAAGTACAGATTACTACGACCTATGTTAATGTATGTATTTAAATAAATAACCCACAGCTCTATTGGACCCCACCCCCTCACAAATATAGACACCCTCATAATAGTTCGTCATATTGTGTCCCCATCACCCCCATGCGTGACAGCACAATGAATAGACACCCCCCTCCCCCCGCAAAAAATATTAACATAGAATAGAGGCAGATTTTTATATATATATTTATATACACATTTATTTCAAAAGGAAATCTAATCACTTCACGACTGTCACACCATCGGACAGTCAGCTACATAAAAATGTACAAATCCTGACCCTCGCCTTCAAACATGCTTTCAGAAGAAGGTTAGACTTAAATACATTAGTTTTCTAGTTTTAAGACTATCATCTGCTGCGTGTAACATAATTGAGCTTTGACATATAGCGCTGCAGATGAATGGCGCTAACCCATTCTGTGGTGTATCTTGTGCTTGCCTGGGGTAAAGTCAGAAACCGCAGGCCACTCCATAATCATTAATAAAAAAAGCTACCCCTGACGGTAGCCTACCCCCTTCCCCTCCACTAGGTATGCTACCACAAGCTTTTTACGCGCACCTGAACTAAATTAACATTCTTAGGTCCTACACCATTTTACCATGCCACGCATTGTGCTACATTCTCTTATGAAAACAGTTTCCACTTATATATATATTTTTTATAAATGTTTATTTGTTTTTAAATTAAAATCAATACCAAAGATTAAATATGTAATATGTCGGGTTTAGGGAAAGTGATGTCAATATGTTCCAAAGTAATTTAAAAAAAAAAAAAAATACTTTTTTATTCGCCCTTGAAATGTAAAACTAGAAATTGGTCTAATACATAGTTCACTATTTCATTTTAAATCATCTACACACCATTATTTAGGAGTTTGAGATTATTGCTATACAGGAAACGACGTTACCATAGTACATATAAACTTGTCAATATATGCCCCTTCCAATTTTACTCACCCTTGAAATGTAAAAGCTGAATATGTTAGGTACCTACCATTACTCCCATAACATTTTGCATGTAAAAAATAAATTTTCGTATGAGGTGTAAACAAATAAACCAAAAATACCTTAAACTATGTTTACATTTGAAAGATAAAATCCTTTCCTTACTCTGTGTTGTGCCTGATACCCCCAGTCTATTCTCTCTGTCTGTGTTGTGGCAAATAACCCCAATGTATTCTCTCCGTCTTTGTTGTGGCAGATTTCCCAATCTATTCTCACCGTCTTTGTTGTGGCAGATTTCCCCAATCTATTCTCACTGTCTGTGTTGTGCCTGATACCCCCAGTCTATTCTCTCTGTCTGTGTTGTGGCAAATACCCCCAATGTATTCTCTCCGTCTTTGTTGTGGCAGATTTCCCCAATCTATTCTCACTGTCTGTGTTGTGGCAGATACCTCCAATCTATTCTCTCTGTCTGTGTTGTGGCAGATATCCCCAATGTCACTGTCTGTGTTGTGGCAGATACCCCCCCCCTCCTTTTTTAATCTATTCTCTCCGGGCTCAGACCCCCAAAAATGTATTCCCCGTCCACCATTTTTCCAACACAATTAAGATTCAGTGTATTCAGATAAGCGCCAGAGAATGATTGCACGGCACTGTTCCAACTTCCAAGCCATTGGGAAATAACAGAGCCCCGTGTGATAAAACCAAAGTAATCATTGATCACGGCATTCCGATTTACTGATGCGTGTCCGTCTTTGTCATTCCGTATTCAAGCCACACTGGCCAGCCCACACACTCCATGGTAAAAACAAATATCTTTAACGACCGACACACTAATCGAACTATTATCTACCGCACGATTCATTTCCCAATGGGATTAGTGGGGTACATCAAAGCTGTTCTGTCCTGGAGCGGCACGGTCGCCGTTCTTATTGGTTATGGCAAGAACCGCTAGGCGTACACAGTTGTGCGTCACATTGGAATCTTTGCATGAAGTTGTGCATGTTGTGTTTTCAAAATTCGTACGTACAATTTAGCATTTAAATGTTGTGTTTTGTTTTAAAAATCTGCCGTAATAAAATTTTAAAAAATTTCTTCTAAAGCTAGCATTAATACAATAGATAAATTCGAATGTATTTGATAGTGGCATGATGCAGTGACATCTCTCATTGCACATTGATACAGTACTTCGAAATGTTGAAGCCTGTAATTTTTTATTTTTTTTTTGAAAAAAAACCAGTTGTCAAGACCAATTTAACTTGGCACGTTAAGAATGTGTTTAATAACTTGGTAAAGTATTTCACAAAGCTTTTAAAAACATTTCTTTTAGTTATTGTTTTATCTGCCGAGAAATAAAATGTTTCTTAATTAATATCCTCACAAATATTTTAAACATAATTGTCCACCAGTCCCTGCACTGTTTTCTGGCATCAACCACATCGTTATATGAAGTATATTCCAACCCCCCCCCCCCTTTTTGCATGATACCCTCACTGAGAAGCCCTTGCAACCAGTGAAATATCCGCGTCAACAGAATCATTGCAAATCCCCTCGTCATGCACAGGAGCCAGATAGATCAATAAATTGATCGTGGGTCCTTAATATAAAAAAGAAATGTTTATTAAATTATCTTTTATTAAATAAGTCACAAGCTTTGAAACGTTGGTCAAGAGCTTTGAAACACTGGTCACGAGCTTTGAAACACTGGTCATGAGCTTTGAAACACTGGTCATGAATTTTGAAACATTGAAACACTGATCATGAGCTTTGAAACACTGGTCATAAGCTTTGAAACCTTGGTCATGAGCTTTGAAACACTGGTCATGACCTTTGAAACACTGGTCATGTGCTTTGAAACACTGGTCATGTGCTTTGAAACACTGGTGATGAGCTTTGAAACCTTGGTCATGAGCTTTGAAACACTGGTGATGAGCTCTGAAACCTTGGTCATGAGCTTTGAAACACTGGTTATGTGCTTTGAAACACTGATCATGTGCTTTGAAACACTGGTCATGTGCTTTGAAACACTGGTCATGAACTTTAACCCTCGAGCTATGGTATGCACCATTCTGTAGTGTGGTAGCTTGTCAGAGCATTTTGAGTGCCTTTGAAATTGCATTAAATGACATAGAAATATTGATACAAGAC